TGGTTACCCATCGGCAGATGAGCAAACAATCAAATTATTATGATCTCAGACAGAAATCATGTGTAAGATAGAGATAATGACAATCATCAACAAACTAAATAATGCAAGCCCAGCCCGTGAGGTACCGGAAACAGAATGATACCTGACAGCAAAAAACATGTTATTTTTGACAACAGTATATAAAGTTGCACTAACCATTGTACAGTGGGGGAGAGAAGGGGAGGGGGGGGTGAAGTGGAGGATAAAGGGTAATATTCACTTACTCTGAGAACATAAACAGGCCTCGAGCCATAAAAGGCTCCAGAGACCTCTGCAATCAAATTACTCAATGTGAGAAGAAAAGGAAAAGGTAAGATAAGAGAAAGAAAAGAGAAAAGAGTCCAGAGAGAGAGAAAGAAGAAAAAAAAAAGAGGGGGAGGATCAACCCGGGACTCCCTAAGGAACCATTATATATATCAGATCCATGGATCCCATCTTCTGTCAAATTTCCTGGTATTGTTATGGAGAATTCAGGTGAGTCTATCATTAACCATGATCCAGTTTAGTTTAGCCTTCACATAATCAAGCGGGACCAATGACTGCTTCCAATATTTGGCAATAGTGATTCTCGCAGCCAGAAACATATATGAGATCAATTTTTCCGACTTTTTAGGGACCTCATCGGGGGATTTCTGAAAAAAATCCAGAGATCTACAGATATTCCCCCCGTCATTGAATAAATGACATTAAATATCCAAAACCAGAATCTAGTGACTACAGGACATTGCCAACACATATGGGGCATAGTTCCCAGGAACAAGGCTGGAGAAAATGTACAGTGCACTCTAATTTTATCAGCACAATTATCAATGTGGAATGTATGTTTTATTCTTTAAAGAACATTAATTACTATCAAACTGTTATGCATAAAGTTTCAACTGCTAACCTAACCTCCGTAAGGTTCTACCTGCTTCATGACCAGGGCATTTTTAGCTATTCAACAGTGCACTACTTTAACTGACAATTGCATGGCCATGCAACCAACACTGCATGCAAATTAAATTTATATCCTTTTTCCCCACACAAATAGAGTTTCCTTTTGGTGGTATCACCACTGGGGTTTTTATATATATATATATATATATATATATAAAAAAAAAAAGATCTAACATTTTGGAAAAAGACAATATTTTTTTACTTTTTGTTATATAACATATCCAATAAAAGAATAAAAAATAATTTTATTTTTATATAAATATATGCCAAAATGTTCTCTGCTTCATGTATTTGGTAAATCCCAATAAGTGTGTGTTAATTGGTTTGTGTGGAATTTATACTATACTATAGTATATATACTGGGATTTACACAGTTATGATGCTATACTAGTAATGACGGTGATCAGTGACTTACAGTGGGACTGTGATAGTGTGGAGGGAAATCTGGCACTAGCTGAAGCTGGCTGAGAGTTACACTAACTGACTGACACTGACATCAATAGTGACACTAATACAGTGATCAGTACTAATACTGTACACTGTCGCTGTACTAATGATATTGGTTGAGAACAGGTTAACATCTAGGAGCAATCAAAGAGTTAACAATGTGTAATGTGTGCTGCTTTTACTTTACTATCTGGCTGTTTTTTCTACTTGCATTTCAGGGAGAAGAACTATCCAGATAGCTGTTTACCTGTACATATAGTTCTGTGTTTTTGTAAACGCAGAGCTCTGTTATTGGACACAGCCGTTCAGCTGATTTCAGCCACAATCATTGACTGAAATCAGCTGTCAAACTCGTGCTGTGTCCAATCACAGTTTCCTGTGAATGAATAGCCTACAAGTGCCCTCATCCATTGCAGCTCACTGCTTAACGTTCTCAATGAAATATGAGGGTGCTGGTGACTATCCTCATAATTCTTTGATTCTTCCTGCTCTCAAGTAGTTGCCTTCCCTTACTGCTGTCCTGAGAGTCTGCAGGAGCCTGACATTGCACCCGCAAACTGTTGATCATGGGTGCAAGGCTCTGCAGGCTCCTTAGAAAAAAATGATAAATGCACATTTTGTTTGACCTGCAAAAGGTGAATTATCCTTTAATGACACCCGAAAAGCAGATTGCAAATGCAATGCATTTGCCTGCACCGGGTTACATAGTACAGAAGCACCATGCAATCCAGTTGCTGTGTGTTTTATAAAGTAGTGCATGCATCCTAGATAATGCTGACCAATGATGGCACTCAGGGGCAGACTGACAACTCATGGGGCCCATGGGCAATAGGGGATCATGGGGCCCACGGGCAATAGGGGATCATGGGGCCCCTGTGTCCTAGCCCACACTCAACCACACCCAAAAAAGCCTATGAAAGGTACCAAGAGCATCTCATGGGGCCCCCTACAGACCACGGGCAGTGCCCATGTGCCCAAATGGTCAGTCCGCCCCTGATGGCACTGTACTTCTGTATGAAAAAGCAGATGACATCATTATCAGGGGTATATTGTAATCTTTGAATGAGGTTAAAAGTCATGCAAGTTTTAGCCCTACACATTACTTAGCATGCATAAACATGCCATCAGCATTGAAAAGTGTGCAGTGTTTGCTGCATCCACAGAAAACTCTTAGATACTGTATGAGGAGGTATTATATGCAACATCAAGACACAATTAACCTTGATTATGTGAGACTTTTTGTTCAGGAAATTAAAATCATTAGTAAAGGAAATTATTTCTCCTTTTCTACTGCATTGCTTCCTGGATCAATGCGACGTTCCATATTTAGCCATTAAAATGCCTGTCCTTTAAGGAAAGGCAAAATATCAATTCAATATTATCTACTGATGATGCTGATAGACTTGCACACTTTATATTACAGAAAATCTGAACAGTGTTTTGTTACATCAAAAATAAATAGCAAATATGTACAATTACATTAAAAGTAAAAGTGTAGATTAAAAATACACTTTCATATACCTAATGGTATATATTGGAAGATCAGTGGTGATTGACTAAATAAGCTATTTGTTTCTATTTGATGTTTTTTCCATTTTTTAGCACTGACTTAAGCGTACATTAGGCAATTTTCTTTCCCGCTGCTAGCAGAAAGAAAAAAACAAAACAAAAAACACAGGCTGGTTGTTCTGAATTTGATCGATTGATCAACTTTAGTACAACCAGCCTACCCATACGTGCATTAAAATCTGTCCGGTCTCTGCTGAACGTCAATCCATCTATTGCCAGAGTTACAGTGATGTTAAAAAAAAACATAAAACACACTGAACGTGCCATTAAAAGTAGGGTTGAGCACAGGTAGAATTTGTGCTTGTAGGATTAGTAATGAATATTAATGACACTGATGATATTGATACTAGTTGTTCTACTAGTGTTTGCAGCAATGTATAGTGTATTGTTGTGTTCTGGTTCTACCGTCAGTGCCAGTGCTAGATATTGTAACAGAGATATGTTTGGTATCTAACTCATCTTCTCATATATCAGTGTCATCGTTTTTTTTTTTTTTTCAAATGAGCTCAGTTGTAGAATTAGATTATGGAAAATGTATGAATGTAAGTATGGGCAGCTCATCTGTATGTTAGTACAGATCACTAACCCAAGTCTGACAGATGTGTATTCCCCCAGACTATTTAGGGATCCTTCACACATGTTCATTATGAAGAATGAAGCAATGCTCATTAATGCATTGATAGAAGTTCTGATGTGTTTTTGACGTGTTTTCGTTGTGTTTTATGAAGCGTTGAAAAAGCTTCAAGAATTCTTGATAAATGCCCGTGAAAATGTTGCTTTTCTAGTAGGAAGTGCTCAATGGGGAAGTGATGTAGAGGAAATTATCTAATTTGAGGTATGGTTAGGTTGTGGTATGATATCAGACATTTTTGGGAATACTCTGCAAGATGGATTTGTATACTTTGATCTCTTTGACAGTTGGCTTGGTCCAGCTCAATTCTGCTCAAACAAAAAGCTTTGCCATTGACAATAATGCTCAATGCCCTGCTCCTGCCTGGCACTGTCAGTATTGCTAGCTTTTGTGTTTGCCCGCACACAGAACCAAATGTATTACCACACAGCTGCTCTGTACAAACAGGCACTACTCTCTTTTTCTCAGTGCATTCTGGGACACAGGAACCTCCACGGCCTCTCCCCCAATGCTCAGCTAACACGTTATAAATGCTTCACTTACACGCCATAAATTATATAGGTGCTGTGGTTATAGAGCGTTACCACTGAAATCAATTAAATTGGCTGACAAGCGTCGATGCCTCACGAAAGCGACATGCTGCTTATATTTTAACACGACACAACACAGAGGAAACAGCACTATGTGCTGCAATTCTAATATTGAAGGACAGTTATCAGGCTTTAAAAATGCTGAATAAATGCCACATAAACAGAGGGTATTCACGCACGTGTGAACAAGCCTTAGTGCTACAACTAGTCACCATTTATGAAAATCATTCAGCCCTTTACGACAGGGCTCATAAACAGGCCGTGTAGACCTGAAACATTTAAATGACTATTTTATGACAGGGCTTAATGGGAGCTCTGTTAAGACCCAGTTCACATATATACAAATTGGATGCATAATGAACCACATCTGATTGGCATGACATGTGAACCAAAAACCTTTTCTATGGAGCAGATTCAGATACAGTGCTCAGCATAAATGAGTACACCCCAACAGATTTGTCAGAAAACTTTTACTTTCCTTTCAGAATCAACATTTTCTATGGAACACTATACTACAAAATACTCCCACAAATGCGGGCCATTGACTGCAAACAAGATTTGTTAATTTGCACACACAAAAAAGTATTTTTCCTAACAAATTCAATCAAGACCATGTGGCAAAAATTAATACACCCCAATGAAAGCCTAAAGAGCAAAGGTAGATTTTAGAAAACAAAATTGTAATTAACAAGTATTCAGCTACAACCGAGTCTAATTATTCATTACACAGGTGTCCAGACAGACAGACAGTTGATTATAAAAGGAAGTTACTTAAAGTGTTACTAAACCCAGGACCCAACATTCACTCTATCTGGTCTTCCACAGTATACAGAACATGGAAGTTCAATTATTTTAGTAAATATAAACTGCTAAATACCTTTTCTCATCAGCAGTTAGAGCAGTCTTGTGACTTCAGCAGAGCACTGGTTAAACCTTGTAGGAGAAGTTTTCTGTTATAAGGAGGATGCAAAACCCATGACCTCTGTCTGGACAGTGCTGATTGGCCCTGTGCTGATCACATGAACTCTGCCAAGAAAAAAAAAACTCTATAGCAATACACACTAAACTGAGCATGTGCATGTGGCTATGGGTTCAGTCTGTCTTATCAGGAGATAAGACGTGGACATTTGAACAAGAGGAGGAGCAGAGAAAACAGGATCAAACTGACTTTTTACACAATGCAGAGGATTAACCCCTTAGATTTCACAGTGAGTATAAAAAGCATGCTTAACTGCATATACAGACTGATTTTACTGATGTGGGTTTAGTAACACTTTAACAAAGCAAAACCCCTCCCATTTCATGCTGTCAGCAATGGCACTACATGGAAGAGAAATGTCACAAGGCCTTAGAAAGAAAATAATTACAAAAAGATCAGCAAAGCTTTACTTATCATTCAGAATACTGTAGCAAAAGTGAAACAAAAGGCCTTAGAAAGAAAATAATTACAAAAAGATCAGCAAAGCTTTACTTATCATTCAGAATACTGTAGCAAAAGTGAAACAAAAATTTAACAAAGATGTAACTGCAACCATCTCACAGAGACATCCAGTTCATCCATGGAAGTTTAACACCTCGACAAGAGCATCTTCTGATGACAAGGGTTAAAGAAATTTGCCATGCAAGTTCATTGCAGTTAGCTAAAAAGATACAAAGCCAAACTGGGATGATTGTTTCCCGTGAGACAATACGGTGTACACTGCAAAGCAATGGCATGCATGGGTGTCATCTACAAAAGAAGCCTCTCCTAAAGCCCATGCACAAAAAACCCACCTAGAATTTGCCAGTGCCCATACTGGAAAAGAAGACTATTGGGACTCTGTACTCTGCAGTGATGAGACCAAGATTAACCACATGCCGCCCAGCCAATGTAGAAATACAGCAGCAGGGCTGGGCAAAAGCACATTTTAAAACGTGCTTTTGCAAAACAGGTAGGGGGCGCGCATGAGGGGCGCCGCCCTACCTGCACCACCGATCCCGGCCGTGGGTGTCAGTTGCCGGGTCACAGCCAGTCATTACCGGCTGTGCCCTGCCGGTTAGCGGCAATCACTGACAGAGAGCAGGGCTGCAGTAGCTCTGCTTTCTGTCAGTTCCCTGACAGCTCCTGACAGGCTGATCGGGAGAGAAGAGTTTATCTCTCTCGATCAGCGTGTACCCGTACAGTACACACCCCCACCCCTAGTAAAACACTCCCCTCACACAGTTAACCCCTTCCTCCCCAGTGCCATTAGTACAGTGTCAGTGTTTTTTTCTTTGCACTGATCACTGTATTGGTGTCACTGGGGATGTCAGTGACCCCAAGTCAGTTCCCCCCAGTGTCCGCCGCAGTCCCGCAGTCCTGCATAAGTCGCTGATCGCCGCCATAAGTCGCTGATCGCTGCCATTATTAGTATAAAAAAAAAAATTAAAAATCCGAGTATCTTTCCTGCCATTTGTAAACGCTATAACCTTCACATAAACCAATTAATTTACACGTATTGCGTTTTTTTTTTTAGCAAAGACATGTCGCAGAATGCATTTTGGCTGAAATTTATGACAAAATTTGATTTTTAATTTTTTTTACTGGACATGTTTTATAGCAAAATATTTGTCCAAAATATGTTTTTTTTTCTCAAAATTGTCAGCCTTTTTTTTTTTATAGCTCAAAAAATAAAAAAAACACACAGGCAATCAAATACCACCGAAAGAAAGCTCTATTTGTGTGAAAAAAAGGACATAAATTTCATTTATGTACCATATTGCATGACCGCGCAATTGTCCGTTAAACTAGCGCAGCGCTGTATAGCAAAAAAATGGCGTAAATTGCAGTATCTATACCATAGTTTGTAGACGCTATAACTTTCACACAAAGCAATCAATATACACTTATTGGGATTTTTTTTTACCAAAAACATGAAGCAGAATACATTTTGGCCTAAATTTATAATCAACTTTGAGTTTACTATATATTTTTTATAGCTAAAAGTAAAAAATATAGTTTTTCTTCTACAAAAGTTTTTTGGTCTTTTTCTATTTATAGCGTGAAAAATAAAAAGCACACAGGTGATCAAATACCACCAAAAGAAAGCTCTATTTGTGTGAAAAAAAGGACGTAAATTTAGTTTGGGTACAGCATTGCATGACCCGCGCAATTATCAGTTGAGTTAGTGCAGCGCCGAGTAGCAAAAGGAGGCCTGGTCATTAAGGGGGGTAAATCCTCAGGAGGGCAAGTGGTTAATGTTTTTGGAACTGGTGGCTTCAAAATTATATGGCATCACAAAGGTGTGGAGTACAAAGAAAAATGCATGGTACCTACAGTGAAACATGGTGGTGGCAGTGTCCTTCTGTGGGGGCTGCATGAGTGCTGCTGGTGTTGGGGAGCTGCATTTCACTGATGGTAGCATGAATTCATAGATGTACTGTTCTTTATTGAAAGAAAAGATTGCACCCTTGGTTGTCGTGCACTATTTTCCAACATGGCAATGATCCAAATCATCACTCTCCATCTATCCAGGCCATGTCGTTCTATTGCATTTCTGTTCATTCTATGCCTAGAGTCCTTACAAATCAGAGGTCATACAAAAGATGGGTGAACAGTGATTCATTGGCCAAGTATGTCTCCTGATCTGAACTCAATCGTGCACTTTTCCAACTGACAATGATCCAAATCACACATGGGGAATTCTGAAGAAGAAAGAGATTCACAGTAGTCTCCTGAGCAATCTCTCTCTCATCCCAGCATCCAGGCTCTAAAAGAGGTCGTTCTTGAAGAATGGAAAAATATAGATGTTGCAATATGTTGCCATCTTGTTCATTCTATGCCTAGACTTGGTGCTGTCCTTACAAATCATGGAGGTCATACAAAATACTAGCTAGAGTAGTTTTTGTTGTGGGGTGTATTCATTTTTACATCAACTAATTTGAGTAAAACTGAAGATTTTGTAATCTAAGGTATATTATTAACCTTACTATCATGTAATGAGCTAACGAAATGTTCTATAGAACTAAAAATTTTGGAAATTGTTGGGTTCATTGAGATATTGATTAAAATCTTACTTTTCAAAAGGTGTGTACTCATTTATGATGAGCACTGTATGTGCGGGCCATAAGCAGTGCAATTCACAAAAAAAAAGGGGTATGATTTTCACCCTGGTTCAGGTGTGGTTTCCAGTGTCATACACTTTACCAATTCACATCTGAACCGCTGAACAAAATGGCAGTGGATGGGGCTTGAAATCATGCTACAAACCGGCCCCGAACCCATGCTTAAGGTTCTGCAAACTGCAATGTATTCTTTTGTCAGATGTATTAAATCCCATGAATGCCTAGCATAGACAAGAAATTTAAAGCAGACCCTGTTCATCACTGGTTAGCAAATTTTGGAGTTGTCAGCCCTCATTTAAGTCACACATGGCTTAGCTAGCACTTGTTTGAATCCCATTCAGGACACTATCTGCATGGAGTGTTCATGTTCTCCCTGGTGCTTGCGTAGGTTTCCTTCCACTTTTCAAAGTTGGTAGGTTATCACTGCTATAATAATACCCATAATAAACAAATAAATCAGTTTGCCAATCTCCTACTTAGTGGGGGCTTGAGATTTCCTAGTTATCAGAGGTATTACAGAGTGAGTGGATGTAAGAGCTGTAAAAGAGAGTGGAAACACATTGACACATATTTATTTTGATTTCCTTTTTTTTTTTTGTAGATAAAACACACTTTATTGCTTAAGAAACATGCAGCAGCTGCACATTTAGGAATTTAGGAATGGAGAATGAAAAACAGGTAGATATAATATCAATTTTGAACTAGATGTATGTAGTAAGCAATGACATGTAACAAACACTGCGGACACTAGTGCAGAACAAAAAACACAAGGCAAAGGCACTCTGACCACAATTATGAGTTTGATATTATGATTTTTCTCTAATTGAAACAGGAAAGGAGCACTTGAGTCCTGGGCCAGTGCTAATATGATATGTTGGGTTGGTGGCCCAGAGGGGAGATACTTCATCATTAAATATTAACTGGAGTGGGACTTGCAGTCCGTGACACAAGGTACAGATTATATAGTTATTTATATTTATCAGCACCCAATTCAGACCTGTTTCCATAGCATCTGGACGAGGAGTCTTCCAGTAACAACTTCCTTTGCAGCTCTGAGATGTCCCATGTGTCCAAGAACTGCTGGAAGTTCACATTACTATGTGATTAAAAATTCTGACATACAGTGGATATAAAAAGTGTCTACACACCACTTTTAAAATGTCAAGTTTCTGTGATGTAAAAAAATGAGACAAGGATAAATCATTTCAGACATTTCTCCACCTTTATTGCGACCTATAAACTATACAAATCAATTGAAAAACAAACTGAAATCTGTTGGGGGGGGGGGGGGGGGGGGGGAGAGAAAACAGGGGAAGTAAACATAAGAAACTAAAATAATAAGGTTGCATAAGTGTGCACACCCTCCTATAACTGGGGATGTAGCTGTGTTCAGAATTAGGTAATCACATTCAAAATCATGTTAAATAGGAGTCAGTACACACCTTCCATCATTTAACCACTTCCCGTCTGGCCCATGTATATAAATGGCCAGACAGTAGCAGTGCAGGGGCGGGTGGCCGTTTATAATCGGCCTCCCCGCACCCTGCTTGTGCGTGCTCCCTGGAGCGTGCAGCACCGCGATCCGGTATCCGCTGTGTCCTCCAGACACAGTGGAACACCGATCGCTGTACGGGACCTCTGTGCGAGGTCCCCATCATGTGATCACTGATTGGCCAGTCAGTGATCACTTGAAGAGTAGTGAGCACTTCTGACATCATTGCTTACTACGTGTGAAATCTGTGAATGATCACAGAGGTCACATGGTACAAGGCTATTCACAACAGCCTTGTACCATGTGACAAGCTGTGACCAATCACAGCTCACACAGTATTTCTCAATGGCTGCAAGAATGCAGCCAGAGAGAAGGAGAAATTATTGCTTTTATAGCCTTTATGGGTGTAAAAGCAATCAATGTAAAAAAAAAAAAAAAATCTTCATAACCGCCCACAAGTATACAGTGTCACCATGGTGACACTGTACTGCTAGGGTGACAGTATGTAAAAAAAAAAAAAACAAATAATATAAAAAATTTAAAAAAAACAATTTTTTAATTATAATTTTTGGTTATAAGCTAATTTGGGTTATTTTTTGTTTTTACTAAAAAGATAACTGAATAAATTTTGGCCAAGATTCATGAAGAAAGATTATTTATTTGCAAAATTTTATAAGCAAAACACTTTTTTTTCAAAATGGACTTTTTCAGTTATATAGCAAAAAAAATAAAAATGGTAAAAATGTATTCACCAGTGGTGAATAAATACCACCAAAATAAAGCTTTATCTGTCTAAAAACAATTAAAAAAAAATTCATACGGGTACAGTGTTGCATGACCGCGCAATTGTCATTCATAGTGGGATAGCGCTGAAAGCTGAAAATTGGCCTGGACAGGAAGGGGGTAAAACTTGAAGTGGTAAAAGTACCTCTGATTAACCCCAAATAAAGTTCAGCTGTTCTAGTAGGTCTTTCTTGACATTTGATTAGTCGCATCCTACAGAAAAAGCCATAGTCTGCAGAGAGCTTCCAAAGCATCAGAGGGATCTCATTGTTAAAAGGTATCAGGAGAAGGGTATAAAAGAATTTCCAAGGCATTAGATATACCATGGAACACAGTGAAGACAGAAATCATCAAGTGGAGAAAATATGGCGCAACAGTGACATTACCAAGAACTGGACATCCCTTCAAAATCGATGAAAAAGACGAGAAAAAAAACTGGTCTGGAGGCTGCCAAGAGGCCTACAGCAACATTAAAGGAGCTGCAGGAATATCTGGCAAGTACTGGCTGTGTGGTACACGTGACAACAATCTCCTGTATTCTCCTAGGATATGGGGTAGAGTGGCAAGATGGAAGCTTTTTCTTTCGAAGAAAAACATCCAAGCTCAGCTAAATTTTGCAAAAACTCCCCTGAAGTATCCCAAAAGCATGTGGAAAAAAAAATGTGTTATGGTCTGATGAAACCAAGGTTGAACTTTTTGGCCATAATTCCAAAAGATATGTTTGGCCAAAAACAACACTGCACTGCAACCAAAAGAACACCAGGCCTACAGTGAAGCATGGTGGTGGAGAGGGCTAATATTATCATGCTTTGGGGCTGCTTTTCTTCAGCTAGAACTGGGGCTTTATAGTCAAAGTAGAGGGAATTATGAACAGTTCCAAATACCAGTCAATAATGGCACAAAACCTTCAGGCTTCTGCTAGAAAGCTGAACATGAAGAGGAACTTCATCTTTCAGCATGACAATGGCCAAAAGCATACATCCAAATCAACAAAGGAATGGCTTCACCAGAAGAAGATTAAAGTTTTGGAATGGCCCAGCTAGAGTCCAGACCCGAATCCGACTGAAAATCTGTGGCGTGATCTTTAGAAGGCTGTGCACAGGAGATGTCCTCACAATCTGACAGATTTGGAGTGTTTTTGCAAGGAAGAGTGTTTTTGCAAGTCAAGATGTGCCATGCTGATAGACTCATACCCAAAAAGAGTGATGTAATAAAATCAAAAGGTGCTTCAACAAAGTATTAGTTTAAGGGTGTGCACACTTATGCAACCATATTATTTTAGTTTTTTATTTTTACTTCCCCCACCTAAAATATTTCAGTTTGTTGTTCAATGGAGTTGTACAGTTTATAGGTTATATTAAAGGTGGAAAAAGTTCTGAAATGATTTATCTTTGTCTCATTTTTTTACATCACAAAAACCTGACATTTTAACAGGGGTGTGTAGACTTTTTATATCCACTGTATATCCAAGCTTTGTACACCCTGTGACCATGATGAAGGACTAGGGAAGCATGGGTCCTTCGCTTCACTAATCTTGTCAGATTTTAAGCCTCTGTACAACCCACATAGTTATGACCTGGTTTTTACTTTTTTTTTTTAATACACATCTTCTTAATACTATGAAGGTTATACCAGATTGTCTGCAAAAAAGAGAGAGAGAGAGAGAGAGTTTGTGGCACTCCTGGAAGTTGATTAAATTTTTTAAAAGAATACATTTACGGCACACATTTTTTATATAAACTTCTTTTTCTTCTCTGCCAGGATTCTGTATTTGATTGGTAGTATCAATGGCTATTGCCCATCTATCTGCCACTTTCCTGGTCTTCTTCCATTAAATTATGAAGAGGGTCAGGACTGAATAGCAGTCAAATGCATACAATATTAGCCCTCTCCATCTCTTCATAAATTAACTATAAAATGAACCAAGCACTTGCCTTTTTACCAACAGTACATCATTTTAATTACCTTCCATAAAATCAGTGTGTGGTAAATGTAAAAAATTTCATGGACGTAATGTGCTATTTTAACACTACTCCATTTCTGTAACAGAATAGAAACTGGATATCCTTGCCTGGAAAACAAGGAGGATGTATTTGAAAATATTTTATTTTATAAAAACAAGCTACCTCTAGATCAGACAGATCTTAAACCCACACACGATACTCATCATACACACGATGAGAATATCGGAATAATGATTGTCCGTTTTTTTTTTTAATGCTAGTCTCCATATTGGAAATGAAGAGGTTACTTAACTTACGAAAATTCTCAGACAGAATAGAATTTTGGAAGTGATGTAATGTACTGTATTGTATTTTTGGAAAAAAACTGTACTGATTAAGTGAAAATCGTATGATCTGGTATTGTACAACAAAAACTTCCGTGTTTGTCCCTTTGTGTCAGGGATGCAGGTGTGACCAGAAGTGTGTGGACTGACACAGGGAAACGCAGGCTTCAGATATGGTATAAATAAGACGCTTTATTAAAGACTAACAATACAAACATAAACGCAGTGCACCAAACCCCAAGCTAACACAAATACATACAAGGTGAAACAAACCCAAACCTAAACTGATACAGATACCCAGGTACATACACATGTAGAGCACAACGTAGTTAGGCAGGCCGGGTCGATAACTATTGGGCAGGTAGGTACAGGAGGAGCAGGCAGAGAGAATGGTCAGGGTCACAAGCCAGGGATCAAAACAGGAGAAGTCAGCAGAGGTCAGGATCAGGCAGGGTCGGCAACAAGTCAGGCAGGAACAGGAACAGGAATGCAGGTTACAAGATACAGGGGCCCATGGGAAAAACACACACCAAGGCACAGACTGCAGGTCTGGCCATCCCTTAAATACACCTGCAATCAGCCTCAGGTGATGGCTAATTGCCGAAGTGAACCTCTGGTTGTTGGGAGCACCCGCTGGCCAGCCCTGGTACTGCAGCCCACAAGGAAGGTGAGTCCCACCACTATTGGGCAAGTCCATTCCTGACACTTTGGATAATTTCAGATGAACTGTCATGATCGGATCTCGAAAGCTGTTTACGGACGATCAGATTATTGAACAATTGCGTCAAAAGTGGTATTTTTTGTACGATTTTCCGTATGAGGCTTAAGTCATGTATGTGTATTTTTGGGATCTACATAATATTAATGATGGAGTTATGTGCTTCTTTAACCCTTAAATATTTTTCTGCTTTGTGTTCCAATTGGCAACTAGCAAAAAAAAAAAAAAAAAAAAAAAAATCTCAACTCTCCCACAGGATGGTTCTATTAATTTTTCCATAGAAAAAGCTCACAGAGCATTGACCACCTCACATTTGTTGCAGTCATGTGCACTGCTCTATGCACACTACAACATCCCAAAACCCATATTCCATACTCCAAAGCTATTCTTTTATCACTTTAATATTCCCCTTGAAGGTGTTAAAGTATTACTAAACAAAGGACCCTGCATTCACTATATCTGGTCTCCCATATTTTAGTAAATATAAACTGTTAAATACCTTTTCTCATCAGCAGTAAATATAAGTCTTTTGATTTCAGCAGAGCACTGGTTAAAGCTTGTAGAAAGAGTTTTCTTTCTGCTGTAGGAGGATGCAAAACCCCTGACCCTCTGTCTAGACAGTGCTGATTGGCCCTGTGCTGATCACATGCACTCTCCCAAGAAAAAAAAACCTCTCTAGCAATACACATTAAACTGAGCAATGTGCATGTGGCTAGGGATTCAGTCTGTCTTATCAGGTGGACATTTGAACAAGAGGAGGGGCAGAGAAAACAGGATCAATTGGCCTTTTTACACAATGCAGAGGATTAACACCTTAGGTTCCACAGTGAGTATAACAAGCATGCTTTACTGAATATCAGACTGATTTTACTTTTGTGGGTTTAATAACATTTTAAGGCATTGTACTGTACATAAAAGTTGTTAGCATGGCATTAATATTGTAGTTGCTCAGCTTTTTAGTACACAGAATTCATATGGTGTCAAAAGATTCTTCAGTGCTTTACAAAACATGGCAAACCATACAGTTGTAAACAGTTCAATATAAGAGGAGTAGGAGGTCCCTGCTTGTTAGGGCTTACAATCTAAAAGGAAGGGGCAGATGATACAAAAGAAGCTGCGATGGGTTGACTTAACAAGGAAAGTAAAAAAGTAAATTTTGACACACCTGGAGTACAGTACATAGACTATGGGTTATATGCAGGCTGTGTTCAGGTGATTGGCAAAAACATTGCTGGAACTGCCCAAAGTGCAAATTCATATAACCCCGCTGACTTCAAGGACTCCAGTTTTTTTGGCAAGCAATAAGGAGTGATCACAGAGGACAGATAGGAGGGCTCAGTGACTGTACTGCACTGCAGCATAAGGAATTTACAGGTATGTCAAAATTCCCTTTATTGTAATCGTACAATACAGGACACAGAACTTGTAATGACAGACCTTGGGATGTATTCATGCAATGAACTGAGGGGTGGGCAACAACATAGCAAACAGAACTGCCAGCAGACCCACAAGAAAATAAGAATAGGAAAACAAAACACTCAGGTGAATGCTTGAAGCACCTTGCAGTACAAGCTCACATCAGCCAAGACATGAACATCCACCTGAGAGCACCTGGAGAACATGTGAACATACGACCAGGTGGTGGCTTTGCAAATCTGGTAAACAGATGCTTGACAGAAACACCAACAGACCTGATAGAATTAATTCTGATAGGGAAAAGGGGACCCTTCCCTTAAGGCTGTAAGCCCTAGAAATAACTTGTCTGATTGACCTGGCAATGGTGAAGCAAGAGGTAAGATGTTTCTTTCAGGGGTCTGAAGGGAGGACAAAAAGGGAGTTTGCTGAATAGAAGCCATGGCTGCCAGGTAGACTCTGACAGTCCTGACAGCACCCAGGCAGTGTAAAGAAATTTTCTGGGCTTAGGACAGGACACATGGAAGAAAGGATAATATCCTCAATGAAGTGGAGGAAAGACACCACCTTGGGGAGAAAAGAACATCTTGGTCTCAAGACCACCTTGTCTTTGTATGATGTAAGAAAAGTCTCCTTACATGAAAGGGCCGCTAGCTCAGAAACGCACCTAAAAGATGTTATGGCCATGAAGAAGGCAACCTTACAAAAGCTTCCAAAGTAATGTCGCCGATCGCCTTAAAGGGGAATATCTGGAGTACCAAGAACACATGGTTCATATCCCAAGGTGACACAAGAGGTTGAATTTAAGGATTTACATGAGCAATGCCTTGCAATAAAAACTTGACTGGGGACTTTGAAGCAAGAGGTTCCTGGAAAATGATGGATACAACAGAAACCTGTTCCTTAAGGGTGTTGAAGGTCAAATGCTGGTTGAATCCAGATTGAAGAAATGCCAGGATACGTGCAACAGAGTATTATTTTGACTCGGACATCTTTTCTCGCACCAGATTAAGAAATTCTTCCATGTGCAATGGCAGATCAGACCTAGGTTTCTAAAGCCAGCGACTGAGAAGCAGGATGAAATAGAGAGCCTTGTGCCAGTAAATATGACCTGTTTGAAAGAGGCCATGGCTTGTCCACAAGCAGTGTGAGTATGTCTGTTCACCATGTCCTTTTGGATTAATTTGGTGCAAATCACTGGAACTTATGAGAATCACTGGGGCTCTTTCTACCTCTAATCTTGTGCAGCATCTGAGGGAGAATCTTCATCAGAGAGAAGGCATAGATAAGCCTGAATGAAGCTCCAGCAATCACCAGGGCATCTACTACGAAGGTTAAAGGATCCATGCTTCTAGTCATAAATCTGTTCAGTTGGTTAGTTTTTAGTGGAATTTGGAGGCCAGGATGTCCACATCTAGTGTCCTCTATCACTGACAGAGATTCTGAAAGATTTATGGGTGCAGAGACTCTTCCCAAAGGTCAATGCATTACCGCCTTAGGAAGTCCGCTGGTCAGTTGTCCACACCAGGATTTATAGACAGGAGAGAGCCTGAATGTGAATTTCTGTTCAAGAGAGGATCAATTTAAATTTTCTCAGCACAACTCAACTTCTGATCCCCCTAAAGGTTTATGTAGGCCACTGCTGTGGCATTGTCTGACTGAACCCTGATTGGGTGACCTTGCAGAAGAGTCCATTGTTGTAGAGACAATCTGGTGAACCTTAGTTCCACAATGTTGATGAGGAGTCTCTACTCTGCTGAGGATCAGGTTCCCCGCCTTCCAGGGTATGGGGAGAAATTACTTTCTCAACTCCAGGACAGGTTTGGAAACCCACCATGCCAAGGAGATCTTTTTTTCTGACTGGATAGAAGAATAGGAGGGTTCAGATAAAGGATCTGTCTGTGGCCAAGATAAGACCCAGGTACGCACACAGTGTAAGGGCTGGAGAGCATACTTTGGAAATGTGATTAATCAGCCAGTTTTGAAGGAACTGAATATTCCTTTGGATGTTGGCCAGCCTGTTGTGGCAGCGGAGTTCTTCATGAGAAGGTTGTCCAAGTACCCGGTGCCATGAATACCTTGGACCCAGGAAGCACAAGCAATGGGTCAAAAACTTTTGTGAATAATCAAGGTGCAGAGGGGAGCCTGAGTGGCCCTGCCATAAACTCAAAATGCTGGCCTCTAAAACAAAAAATTCAGAAAGTGTGGAGGCATCATGTATGTCTAAATATGCAAGAAATCTGTTTAGAGACATTAAATCCAGAATGGGATTGATACCCCCATTTGGTTTGGGGACTGTGAATAGGTTTGAGTAAAAATGTTTATACCTTTTTTCTGAAGAAACTGGTACAAACAGAAGTTTGCCTAAGGTGGCCAGTAAATCTGTCTGAGCTGTCAAATTGGAGAGTAGGAAGAAAGTAGGTGTCAGGATTGAAATTCTTTTTTGTGATCCTTTAAAAATTACAGATTCGGTCAGAGGTCTTGTCTGTCCCAGAGCCAGACTGGCACAATTGCCAATAAAAGTCCTCCCACTCCGAGGAGAGCTTCTCAGTAAGCTTGATGGGCTTAGGGTCCAGGGCTTGTAACAAAAGAGTGAAGCCTTGGTTTTCAGGTTGATTCTAGGGTGAGTGAAAGAGCTATTTTCAATTATCAGAGGTAGTAGCTGTAGGAGGAGACTTGGGCTTTTTCTTGTGGAGTACCTTTCCTCCAGTAATTACCTTGATTAATTTATCAAGGGATTCACCTTGGTGTTCACTGTCAATGGCACTGTATAAGAAACAACTCTTACAAGCAGCCTCAGCAGACCAAGCTTTTAGCCAAAAAAGCCTGCTCATATTCACAAAAAGCAGCAACAGTCCTAGATTTGGCAAATCATATTCTCTATAGCATGCTGCATAGTAAAGTACTTGTTAATTCCTCCATATGTTGAATGTTTTCAATTCAATGGAACCATTGCTAAATTGAAGGGTGGTGGGGGTGGCAGACCTCCAGTGTGCAGGCATGAAAGAGCAGGCAGCATTGTAAATCACATATTATGGATTTTATGATGACCTTTAGAGGGATGTCATTAAGATGTAAAGGAAGTAAAAAAGGTAAATTGGGAAATACCTGATCTGTGAATTTTTATTTATATTGTGTACCCACGGCCAAAAGTGTTGGATAACCAGACACGACCAGAAAATGTGCAGGAGAAAAACATCTCCAACAGGTCACTGGTGTGGATGGGTACATCCTGTGAAGTCTTGCTGGAGTATGATACCATCTAATGAAAAGTTTATATCCTAGTTCGTGATACTTGTTACTTATAGATGATTTGTAGGGCAGTAAAAGTATTCTGGAGTATTCAGAAGGTGTCTCAGCTGCAGCATTTTTTTTTACTCAAGTTGCAGAGTTTGACAGGTCTTGCCCCCTGCCATACTTGCCCATTGAGATCCCACAATGTTGCTGCTGCTATACTGTTCTCTGATGTACAATTTACCTTGGATAGCTTTTCAAAGGGTGCTAAGCAGTACCTCCAGTGTGAAAGAACCATAAGTGCCCCACAGGGTCTTGTTTTGGTTATGGAGACTCAGATGCTGCCAGTCATAAATTAGTCAGTGGAAAGCATTTGTTGACCAGCCATAATTTGTGGCTCATAGAATGCAGGGGTTCTAAAATCCTCTGCACTTTCCACTACAGCGTGAGCACCCCATCACTTTCCTCCATTTCATCCTCAAAGAGACTTGAAGGTTTCATCTCTGATTTATAAGAGGGAGAGTGAAGTGTAGGGTTTTTGGCCTCTGAAATCCAAAGGTGTTAGGAAAGACAAATGTTTTCTGAAGAATTCAGGTGGATTTGCAAAAAAAAAATATGCTTTTGTCAGAAACGAGGCGGAGCTAAAGTCAGAGGAAGGGAGGAGTGTCATAATAAGGAACACCCTAAGCGATGTTCTGTCGTTTTTATCCAGCTTGCCTGCACCTGTGATCTGCCATTGTTGACGTGAGGACAATCCCTGCAGAGTACTCACAAATTGGATGCAGAAAGTATGGGGTTTTGCATGCCTGCATACCTGAAATACAGGAGCCAATTGATGACCGTGTTCTTTGGTTGTTTTGGCTGTGTTTCTGTAGTACAGGAAGCAAAAAAGTGTAGCAAAGGTGTTCAATACGTTTTCTGTAGATGTTGCGGCAGATGTATGTCAGCTGGAACGCGTTTGGCAACTGTGTTCGACTCGAACATTGGCCGTTCATGTGTCATGTCTTCTGTAATTTTTTTGTGAATGAGTACCGGCACCCATTACTCATTCAC